CGCTTAACATTTAGATGGTAAAAAGGTGCGTCTTAAGTTTTGTCTTAAAAATAGCAACTGACGGTGATTGGATAATATGTTTGGGCAATGAGTTCCAAAGGGATGCTGCGGAAAATGAATATGATCTATAACCAAAGGTTTTGGTGTTAATCCTAGGAACAACTAAAAGATTTTTATCAGAAGAACGGAGACAAGTAGGTGGGGCATACGCATGAATGAGTTCAACAAGGTAAGTGGGTTGTTTGTAAAATAGTGCTTTGAACGTTAGCAGGATTTTGTATTTGATACGAGATTCAATATGGAGCCAATGTAAATGATAAATTACCGGTGATATATGTGAGCGTCTAGAAGTAAGAGTCAGAATACGTGCAGCTGAATTTTGAAGACGTTGAAGGCGATTTATCGCAGTTTTTGGTAACGAGTAGAAAATGGAGTTGCAATAATCCAGATGGGGTGTGACCAATACATTTATTAATACGGCAGCTGTGTGTTTTGAAATATATTTTCTGATATTAGCAATATTGCGTAGATGAAAGTTAGTANNATTAATCAATTGGCCTTGAAAGATGTGTATAAGAGACAGCATAGGCCTACAGTATACAACTTTTGTTGTTTTAATTATAATTCATATCATAAACAGTGGCGGATCCAGGACATCGAAAATAGAGGTGGGCCGGCCAGGGAGGTATTTTCAGAGTTAGAGGGTCGCACCACACACGTACCTCAGCCCCATTATGGTTGGGGCTGGGGTAAGAACATTTATGATTATGGCACCTCTAGATTGCCGAAATGGCAAGTAAATTCAACATTTAAACGAAATGAAAACGGATTCTAAGAGGAAGATTCGTGAACGAAATTAGGTGGGTGGAGGCTGGTTTGAAATGTTTATTAGTAGTTATAGCGTAATTTTAATAACTTAATACAGATTGGCGCTTGATACATGCATTGCCCTTAAGCTTGTTGGGGTTTTTCTTTTTTTCGTCAATTACTGTATGGTGTTTTCGTTGCCGAGTTTGACGATACCTTTCTTGCTCAAACAACAGGAAGTTGAACCGTACTACAATGGTTTAATTCAGGGAAAAGTGAAATTACATATATTTTGTGTTGTTCTTGTCTTGAGAGTGGCGACTGGCAGCACGCGACAGAAGCATACCAACACGTTCAAAGCCTGGGGCCAGATTTATCAAACTAGATTATCAGATTCATTTTTTTAAGGTAATTTTTTTTTTTGCTTAAGTCAAAGTTATCCATATTGCTTAGCTTACAAATTGCTTAAAATGAGAAAGTCGATTGTGCGTTGGCGCCATCTAAGACAATTTTTAAGCCAAGATTTTGTAAGATTGGGTAATAAATCAGCCTAAGATATTTATTAGGAACATCTTAACTTTTTTGACTGAAGACATTTGCTAAGCGGAGATTGATAAATCCCGGGCCAGGGTCTGAATCTAAAGCGTACAGCCTGCAACATGATTTAAGTCATTACGCTATTCATTCATGCTGTTCTATCTGGTGCATCCAATAGAAAGCTCAGTATTTTAATAAGAATATTATTTTAGTAATTAACAAGGCACTCGAATCATGAAACAATGTTGGAAACATACATTGTTGTTTTAATTACATTTCTGTTGATTTCATTTAATAATTAAATTGTCCTGCATTCCAAATTACTGTTAAAATTTAAATTCAACTGTAACTCATTTTTAGGTCAATTAAAATAAAATTATGAAGAATCTATATAAGTATATCTACGAAAACATGCCGAAAACTTCTATTAAGCAGACAATTTCACGATTTTGGCTAGTGTCCCTCAATAGGGTCTCCTAATTAAGGAGACACTTCTTTTGGTCACAGTGGTTTCGCCTTAAAAGGGGTTCTACTGTAGTAATGCTTGGAGGTCCGGCTAGGCCCAATTATATCTAACGAAAACCAGGGTCACCATAACTGAGAACAAACTTTAATAACTTTTTCATTTAAAAGTTATGTAACAAAATTTCATTTCTGAAAACAAAGCCGGCCAACATAATACAACTCATACGTTCAGGCTTATCTTCTCTATCTACTGGGGTGGATGTAGAGGGGTTCAGGAGGCTTTGTGATTGCACCTTCCCCCTCACTTAATAATCGAACCCCACTTCAACTTGCCCCCACCCCTCCCACTATTTTAAGATGACTCCTAGATATAACTGGATAAGATGACAATTCAGAAGAAAAGATGATGGTTGCGATGATGGACAAATTTTGAAGACATGTATTCATATTTAACGATCTGAAATCATTAAGGTAAATTCAATAGGAAGGCACTTTCTTTCTTATTGTTTTATTTCGACATTCGATCTAAATAAATCACACTACCATACTCAATTACACAAACACAGCATACCTATACATCAGAAGTAGTCGATAGTCAAATAAATGATTCACCAATTAATCAATTGGCCTTGAACAACCAACACATTGTTGGGTAATCAAGAATTATCATCACTTGGCCGTGATCAACTAATAACGTTGATTGATCGTCACAAGAATATTTGATCGTAATCTCCACCGACCTGTTTGTTCAGACACTCACAACTTAGCAGAATATATAATTAATTTCAGCAAAATCAACAAATAAACCAGTTGACAATACATCAATAAAACTATGAAAATCATGAAAATAAAAAAAAAAACTGTTAATGGTATGAATAAAAACAACAAATTATTCAAATAAAAAAAATATATAATTATTTAAACAGGAAAATAATAGTATCAAACGACTTATAATCATAAAACAATAAATTAAAAAAACAACAAAACAAATAATCATATTGATAATAATAAATAATTACCTATATATACTTCCTTCCTCAGACATTTTTTGTCAACACATACAAATAAAATCAATAACAGTATTGGACTGAAAACAAAATATGCAAATTAGGCTCTTCTAAGTCATTAATATGCAATGAATATTCATCAATGCATTACCAAACTACTGCCGTGGTGGGTGTTCAGTTTGCCATAGTTGCTAATAAAAAGGCATTCCAATGCAACCGTTTAGACACTTCCTCTAAAAACAAGCTATTTATCAAAAGCACACAAACAAATTCTGATTGAATTAAAATTAGTAAAATTTACAACAAAACAGTATCAATGAACTATCTGTATAGTAGTGACAAATTTAGTTGCATGGCATTCACCATTCGTGTTTACAATGTCAAACATTACAAGCTTGCAAACGTTTCACCAGTCAATATTCATTACGTGCGAATGGACGGACGTCTGATTCTGAAAATTACATCACATTATTTTCTCAAACTTCCAAAAAATGTTCAGGCACTTTTAAATAAAATCTATGACATAATTATCTAAAATCTAGAATTAAACATTCTCAAAAAATCCATATAATGTTCAATAATCATGTTCTACATATTTTAAACAAAACAACAGTAAACTCTATTTGATGCACTGTATTCAATGGTTTGGTTTGAAGCTATAACTTGATTTAAAATATCTTAATTTCTTTCTGTTTGATCTATATGGTTATAAATTTCAAATTGATGGTTTACAGATACAGGTGGATCATTTGCATAGAAATTTACCATTTCTTATCTAAATTTATTTCTTACACAAACCACTTATATTCAGAATATCTATGAACAATGTATAAAAAATAGTGTTCACCTTACAATACATAGTTGCAGACAATTTTTTACGAAACGTAGTTAACCCTAAACAGTGCAAATTGTTTAAACAACATTATATACTTATTAACTAGGATCACTAGGGGACATAAATCATTTTCAAAGGTATCAATATGGCACACAAATAATAAAGAAAAATTAAGCCACTTATGTTTAAACCAAGCAAGTTTGTAAGGAATGCATTTAAAAGTACCGAGTATAAAATAATTACTGTTTATTGATTGGTTCATCAAAATATGCAAAAGGTTAGTTGCGTTTGAGTAGTCACCATGAAGGTATACTTTTTTTTTTTTAAGTTTGTATTTTTACTTGTAAATTAAGAATATAAAATGATTTTTACTAACCCAAGTAACTAGCAACATAATGAGTTTACACAGTACTGTATCTGTATATATACTGTTCAAAACCTATTCTTGATTTAAGTACAGAGTGAAAGATGTTCAAAAAAAGATTAAATGTGACAAAAACCTACAAATACATACTTGGTGGTTCCAATAAAACCGATATTAAACACAGCTTTACATGAACCAGCGCATTCAAAAACAAGTGTTATAATACTCTTGAAACATGTTCACCTCTATATAATAATAATAATAATAATAATAATAATAATAATAATAATAATAATAATAGTTGGATTTGTACAGCGCATCATGCGAAAAAGCCTGTATGCGCTTGGTGATTGAGATCTTTGAGTTAGACATTTTGAAAAAAGTTTATGTTATTTTATGAAACTAAAAAACCTACTCCTTAAACTAAAGCTTGGTTGGCCGTTGGCTCCGAGCCAATGTAATGGCTAGATCCCTTTTATCTGATCCGTGTTGACAGAGGGTGATGTTTGGGTATAATCATGGTGGTCCTAGGATGGTGTGATGGTTCGATTTTTGTAGTAATGGTATAACTTAAATGAAATGGCAATTACAGTAGTCGGGTTTTTCAAGATAAGCATTCACAAAGACTAGATTAACCGTGGCATTCTAATCAACAATCAGTGATCATTCTCAACGTGAAATTAAAGAATCTAACCACACAATAATGTAACTCTTCCTCTATTTCATTCTAAATACTTTAGTGAAAATAATTCACCTCACATTTACCTCAAAAACAAGACTAGCAAATATCCATCAAAAAAGCATCTAAAAACATCACATTCAAAATATTCATAATATTGTATTAATCCATAAAACAATTCTTAAAACTACATCACAATGAAAAGTTGAATGAAAAATGCGCTTTAGCCTTACTAAAAACCTGACAAGTAAATAGTCCAAACGGGATTTATAGAATTTTAATAAAATGCAAAAAATGCAAAAGATGTTATCTGTCTTTTGATCAGTTAGTTGTTAAGAGATCTGCTTGGCGGTATTGAACGTCCAAGAGCACTTCGTGGGGAACGAGCACCTATAATACAAAAAAAAAAAAAAAACAACATTGATAATACTGATAATGTTTTGAAACATGCAATAATTTTTATTTTGGTATGCCATCAATTTTGTGGCTGCAATCAAATTCCACAAAAAAATAGCAAATATTAAAAGATCTAGTAAAGTTCAAGAAAGCTGTACACAACTACTAAAAAGCCAACAATTTGGAATATTCTGCACATTATAAGCTGTAAAACGATTGTTCGTTTACTGGAATTGACTTACTACTGCCAAATCTATGAGTAAACGTATTACAGCTTCTATATACTAAAGTATGCCATGCAGCCACATTCTTTAATTTAAACTCAGCTTAACATTTAGTGACAGTATGTTGGTTTTCAATGGCGCCTTGGGTAGGACTGTTCCATTTTGTTTTCGAAGGGGTGTTCCGTTTTGGGAACAATGGCAATTAGTCATTTATCCAGGTAAGTATTCACGAAATAAATTAACCAATGAATTGTGATTTTGGGGGAAATGAAGAATTGAGTACATACTTGATAAGGAAGGGGCAGTAATTATGGAGAAAGGCAACATGCAACAAGCGTTAATGAATAGAGTAAGAACATTAAGCAAGTTTAGAAAATTGTGTTATCCAAGCACAATGGCAATGAATCTTAAAAACAGACCAATCAGAGTGCTGCTTGGAATTGGCGCATATCTGGCAAACACATGTGTTGTAAAGGTAAAGGTATATGCATGTGTATTGCACAGTAATTAATCAATAATTCAATAAAGAACAATATTCAAACACACAGAAGCCTACAATGCCCTCCTTACCTCTGGCCGGGGTGGAGGTTGCCTGAGCAGCCAAGCGTACTGGGGAGGAGCTACGTGTGCGCCTCGAGGCACTGAGGCTTACAGGTGGAGATGCCCCACCGTAACCAGAATATCCCATAGATTCATCCAGTTTCCGGGTTTCATGCTCAAGGAGAAGAGGGTCAAGTGTTGGGTCACGTGAAACGTTGTGCAAAGAATCGCCTGGAATGAGTAGAAAGCAAACAAATATAGCAAGCTTAGAAATATAAAAAAAAATCACAAAGTTAGGATTATAACCACATATATCATGAAACCCACAACCAAAGTGACAGTGACTAAACCAAAGCTTTAATATGCCAGACCCACACATTATCATGTACTTTGGTAACCAACATGTCTGTAACTATACTATTAGTAAAAACTGCAATATGGTACTACAAATATGACATGGGCAAGAATCATAAAAATAGCAGATGAATAAATTGCATCTTACTTTTATTATATGTTGTAACTAAATAAAAAGAATGAAATGATTTGAAATTTTAGAATATACATAAGCTCTGTTCACACCATCAACCTTAATGTAATAAAAAATGTGATTCCCATATATGGGTATAATATATCATCATCATACTAATATATGGGTATAATATGACATCATCATACCCATATATGGGCACATCTCACAAATTTGACACACAGTGTGGAGAGAGCTGAAATCATACATAATGATGAGATCACATAAATCACCAGTGATTTTGATAGTCCATAAATGAGATACATAGAAGAAAATAACTAATTGCAACTGTTCCCTTTAAGAACACCCCTACAACAAAAATAGAACCGTCCAACCGTTCCAGCAAGGAACAGTGGTAACTAGTCGGTCTATCTAGGCAATTATTCACAAAAATCATGTAAGAAGGTACATGTATATTCCCACCAAATTAATCATATGCAGCACCATAAAAATAATAATGGCAATAGATTTTTAAAAAGGGTTCATAAATGAGATCTCTATGCATTCAACAAAAGGCATGAAGACAACAAAACCATAATTATAATAAATAAAAGCTTGCAACCCAATAGTGGTTGTAACATGGCAGTGATTGTAAATTATAATTGCATGTTAAACCAATATAAAAAAAAAACTATTAGTTGGCTCAGTTTTGACAACATTATAGTTTTCAGATACTTTATCAGGTTAACCATCATTATTATTGTTAAAATGGACTTTTAAGGTTTGATTATAAATAATGAAAACCAAAGTAGGTAGTTGAAGACCAAAAACAACACAGTTCCTGTATATCATTAAAATATGCACAATTAAACAGCCTGGATATAAAATAAAATAGGTTTTAAATCAGTGGTTTGAATGCATTTGTTATGTTTAAAATTAAGCAGTGAATATTGTTACACAGCTGTCCCATTACAAGAAACTGCTGTTATATTTTTGTGCAGTTCGTTGTTTTACCTTCAGTCTTCAACCAATTCCTAATCCTGATTGGTAGTTATTGTTCATTAGGGATGGTTTAAAACTGGTGTTTCAATAAAGACTGCATTTAATTCTCATATTCGTAGTTCAACAAACATAAGTAAATAATCCTTACTCAGCATATTACGTAGATCTTGGATCTCATCGTTATTCTTTACAGAGCGTGTAATGAACTGCTGTCGTTTGCGCATCTCCTTACCAAGTTGATCCTTCAGGGTCGACACTTGTTCTTCTAGACCCTTGACTCGATGTCGATGGGCACGTTCTCGTGCTTCTAGGGTGCGCTCTGCTTGCACCTGGGCACCTCGAAGTCTGTCCGTCTCCATCTCCATTTCTTGTCTATGTCTGGTGGTCAGGTCTATCAATCTAGAAAATATTTTTATTTTTTTTTGAAAATCATAATCAAACTGGTTTTAAAGACCAACTCAGACAGCGTCACACATTGGAGACTCGCGCTATTTATGGTTGGAGTATATTAAACATGTTTAATTTTCTACAATAAGTTTGCCCTCGATGCAGTCTCATGAACACTCATCGCACTTTGACACAATGCAAAGATAAATCGCGTCTGGCTGTGTAGTCCAGCATTGTCTGATAGATTGACTAAAGTTAGTAATTGATAGTCAAGTGACAAATAGTAGAAGCAATTGGCATGGCAGTTGGGACCTTATGGTCGCGGGTTTGAAACGCTCGCTGTGCAAATCTCATGTGTCCTTGATCAAGGCACTTTATCCATGTAGGTACCTAGGAGGTAGAATTGGGTATCTAAGAGGTGGAAGTGGGTACTTAGGAGGTAGAAAAGCACCTAAAAGAAGATTTAAGTGCTAAAGAGAAATCCATTTAAATCTCTTGTAAAATATATATACAGATCAATGAAGACCTAAGAAATAAGTGAATTATTCATTTAAATTAATTTACTTCATACCTTGTAGCATGCTGTTGCTCAGTTTCAGCCAATGAGCTTTGCAAAGTCTGCACCTGACGATTCAAGTCTGTATTCTCTTGCTCTAGGCCAGATAATGTCTTATCTAGAAGTCCCTTCTCTGAGGACACCCGCATCACAGCTTCATCGATGTTGATCTTCTCACGCTCAACCTAATTTCACAAAGAATTGTTAATTTTTTTTATTTTACACATAACAAATTGATAATTAACTCAACCATTAAAATTTAAGGAAAAAAACTTTATGCTGTACGTATATTAATATATTTTTATATCATTAAATATTTGTTTTATTATTTACTCAATTATAATCAAATCAAATCGTTTCATTTACATGGCACCATTCCAACAATTGCTTGTTGCATATCAGACTAGATGTTGCACTTTTCAATAACTTTATCCTCCCCTGAGGGTCACTTCATGTCCTCAGCAGACAGTAAACCGGAGCACTTTCATCTGTCCATGACATAGGCCAAGTGGACAAAAAAAGAAAGCAATACTCAATATCAGGAATGGAAAAGCAAGCCAACAGTCGTAGGAAGACATAAATGAACAAACAGTGGAGACTTTGTAGCTGCTGATCTAACACAGCGCTGGCTGAACCCCTGAGCGCCCACTTACTCGTCTCAAAAGATGTACTGGAGGATTGGTGTACACTGGGCCTACGGTTTATAGTCCTTCTCCGAGAAGACTTATTCCAACACCAGAACTTAAAGTGAGCCGGCCACAAACCTGTGCCGGTATTGTTGGCTATGGTTACACTGTCTCTGCCTTAACCACTTAGCCATTCAATGTTTCAGCTCTGTCTACACAATCAAATTGTCTTTTGACAAAAAACTTTTTTAGGCGGAAATGTCATGATGTGCCTATATATGGGTCATGATGTGATGTCATCGTTATACTGTCTGGACAGTGCATTATAAATAATAAACTATTTTCGGTCTTACCTTGTCCAAGGTTTTTTTTAGAGCAGTCTTGTCCTTCTCCAGACGACCAGCACTGCGTTCAATTCCTCGCTTCTCTGACTCTAAGTTAGCATATGCCCTCTGCAGCGTGCCAACATGCTCCTGAAGATTTCGTTTTTCATCCTGCAGTTTTCGGATGGCCTGCATGGCACCCTCTTCAGATTCTTGTCGCTGCTTCAGAAGCTGGAATAAAAAGTTAGGAAATAAACAGATCTGTTAAAGGTATATGTTTCCTTGGTTTTGAATTTGTTAAATTCGATTCATAAAGAGTTCTCACACCTGTAGTAGCAAAACACCTCATCAATGTCCATGGGACCATATTTATTGAGGTCATGCCCTTTGTAGTTCAACACATTTTATTCATTACCACTTTTGGCCACACTGATTCTGGCCATGTACTTTGTGATTACTCACATTCTGGCTATACCACTTCAGGGCCAGGTACCTAACAAAATTATTCTTATTACACCTCTGCACTCATACCTGCTGTGAATTGCGAACTTGAGCTTCAAGTTCTGAGTGTCGGACCTCAAGTTCGGAATTATCATTCTGGATCGTCTGCAACCGCTCCATAAGTTGATGGTTTTGTTTCTTGGTTTCTGATGAGGCTTGTCTACATAGAAACAACAATTACAAAGTGTTATAGAAAGCATATTTCATAATGGGTAAATACTTTATCGTAATGTATAAATGTAGCTCCAGGTAATATTCTGTAATAATTCGTGAAGTGAATAATTAAACTGAATTTAGCTAGATTGTTGTAATTGGCCTGTTGTTTCACAACAATATATTGCTATTTACTGCCTCTATGAACAAAACAGAAGGTTTACACCTACATTGGAGCAGTGATTTGGATTATTTATTATAATTTTTATAAAAATAAGTTTGATTTTATTAAAGTCAGGAAAAAAAATTTGTTGATATGTTGTAGAACTGATTTTTCTAAGACAGAAAAAAGTTGTTTGACGAAAAACTGGGGAACGGTGAATGAGATACAGATTTTTTAAATATTTAAAAACTGAGGGAATAAGGTGTAAAAATGGGCAGTTACACCCCTTTTTCCCCCAGTTTTTAAATATTAAAAAATCTGTATCTCATTCACCGTTCCCCAGTTTTTCGTTAAACAACTTTTTTTGTATTAGAAAAATCAGTTCTAGAACTTATCAAAAAATTTTTTTCCTCCGGAGCCTGACTTTAAAGATTGGAATAAAGCAAGTTAATCTGATTATTGAATGGAGTGAAGCTTAATTAATAGGTTGATGGTTAACATATATGAATGTTCCCTGGTTAATGACTCACCTGGCAGCATCTAGTCTTTCTTGGAGAACCCTTCTGTCATGTTCACTGCTGGTCAGTGACTGCTGTATCTGTTGGATCCTGTCCTGTAGCTGGTTGGACGTGGTGGTGCTATCATTCAGCGACATCGACAGAGATTGAACCTACACAGATAAGCAATCAACAATCATATTATTTCTAGAAACATAAAATATTAAAGATAATAATGAAAATAATGACATTAACAACAACATTAATAGAATAGGTATGATAATGATGATAATAATAACAAAAATAACAACAATAATAATAATAACAATAACAATAATAATAATATTAGTATTAATAATAAATTTATTAGGAATGATTTTTCCCCTACTCAGTATGTTCCAAAATAGTAGCAAAAAAAAGTGACTAAGTGGGAGTACAACCAATGGCCACCAGATAACATTATTCCTAATAAATCTCCTGACGTAAACACAATCACATTGCAGTACCCACTGCAACTTGGAAATCAGATTCAACACTAGCAACTAAGCATAAGCTCTGTGGTCTGGTGGTTAGGACACCAGGCTAGTTATCTGGAGGTCATGGGTTTGATTCCAACCAAAATCACTTGCAAAAATTGTTTTACCTAGTATTTGAGCAACGTACTGAGCATTCAGTACAATAACATATAAGGTAGGGGAAAAAAATCATTCCTAATAAATCTAGTGCAAACACTATTGGAATAATAATAATAATAATAATAATAATAATAATAATAATAATAATAATAATAATAATAATAATAATAATGAATTTAATAACATCAACAACAATAACAATAACAACAATTTAATAAATAATTTGTATATGTGCTTGTTAAAAATGTTTGCCACTGGAACTTAACATTTAGAACTAAACAAATTATTGAATGAAAGAGTTTCAAATTGATCAGCAAAACAAGCGAGGATATTGACTTTGGTGAAGGAAATATACAAAGCATATACATATGTACCAGGCAAAACAATACAAATATATTGTAAAAAATAAGAAACATATTATAATTATTTTGTACTTAGCAATTTTTAGGCAACATATACATTAAAATCATCCAAGCAAATGATTTTGGAAGACAAAGTTAAACCCTATAAAGAATTTGTTCATTATAACATTACCATCCCAAAAAATATGTGAAACATCTTCAATTGCTTCTACCTCATTTTGTGTATAGTGTAATAAAAATAGTGGGCATAACAATCAGTCGGAGGGCCAAAGTGAATTTTTCATTTAACACCGAGGGCTGCACCCAAACTTTTATGTTTCCAGTGAGCTTCCAATAACCTCCAAGCACTGCTTTTACATCACTTTATTCTCAGTTTGAATGTTATTTTTTACATATTATTGATGTCGGGCCGTAAAAAACAAGGTGTTTTCTAGACAATTTTGATTGGCGGGCCGCAAACATAGGATTTTTATTTATTGTCGCAGGCCGAAAAAAATCGCTTGGGCCGCATGCAGCCTGCGGGCCACACTTTGAACAACTGTGGTGTAATGAAATTGATACAAACCTTGTTCTTAAGGCTACTCTCCCCTTCCTCTGTTTTTGCCAACGATGTGGACAGGCGGTCAACAGTCAGTTGCAAAGAGGTCCTCTTACTCTCTAGATCCTGAATCTGCCTCATCAATGACTCGACTCGTTCCTTCAAAACCTGAGAGACAAGAAAAAAAACAACATTTGTTTGATTAAAGACAGGAAAATACCTCAAGATGATAAATAAAATTTTAAATAGCTCATAAAATGATCAAATAAATTATCTGAGAAACAGATAAAAAAAAAAGTTTTTACCGATTTATAGACATGTTACTACAAAAATCTTTAAATTGATTACTACCACCCTAAGGATCTATTTAAATGAATAGAGGAAAAACATAATTTTTGACTGTTATTTAATTAACGGGTGAATTTTTTTTCTCATTCCAATTTTTGATGTGAGGTAATAACTTAATTACACATTCAAATTAAGCAAATTCAAATGTAGAATTATTAATTTTTTTCCCTCATGTTAGTACATCTTTAAAGGAAATACATGAAAGTATGCAATAAAATCTTAACAACATCTACACAAGATACCTTGGATAAATTACTAGCATAAAAATGATGACACTGTTTGTCCCCCCCCCCCCCCCCCCCCCCCCCCCCATCAATTCCAGAACAACCTTTTGGGGCCTGAAAATTGGGGTGGTCTCAGGGTTTTTCAGTCTCCACTCGGAGAATTAGCTGTGTGTTAAAAGATTGAAAATTGTTATTTGGTTCTTTGAGAAGGAAGTGTTTCGAATTGGAGGATGCACTGTAATTTGATGGTGTAGGATCAAGTTATTAATGTTAAGTTCCAACCTGGTTTTCAGTGACTTGATCATTCATTGAAAGCTGCATCCTCTGGAGATCTCCTTCCAGAGCTCTACGCTTCAACTCCAACTGAGTTCCACGGTTGTCAGACTCCTCTAACATCTGCCGGAGCTGTTGCTTCTCAGTGTCCAGACGTTGCTCATTCTGCTTCATTTTGTTAAGCTTGTCATTCAGGACACGTTTGTCGCCCTCTGCAGACTGCAACGAGCGCTCGAGCATGCTCATCTTTTCCTGAGCACCCCGGCGATCCCGTTCCATACGCTTTATGGTTTCCTCTTGGAGCATGAGTGCAGTCTGAGCACTACTCAAGCGGCCATCTGCTCCTCTCTTGCCTTCCTCCGTTTCACCAAGAGACTTCTGCATGTTCTGCATGCGTGCTTCAAGGCGGTTTCGATCTTGTTCCAAGTTTGTTAACTCTTGATTTAAACTCTTAACTTTGCCATAAGCTTCATCCTAATATCAAACAGAAAATTCATAAAAAACATCAATGACAATGAATCAATAAAATAACAATAAATATAGTAAAAACTGCAATAATAAATAAATAAATATAAGAAAACAATAATAATTATAATCAAATAAAACCATTTTAATAACAGTACATGTCTGTGGTGGATACAGGCAATTTGAAATGGGGGGGAGAGGGGGACAGGGAAAGACTCTCACAGATGAAGAGTGATCACCTGAGGCCCACCATGGTTGGGGTTGAGGTAAGAAAATTTATTATTATGGCACATCTAGATGGCCAGAAATGGCACTCTCAGACCTATAACTTGATTATAATTTGGCCATTTTTCACCATTTCTTTAAATAATTTTGGAAAATTTAGTGGGCGGAGTAGGGCCCAGACCAGCTCGGCCCCACCTTGAATCTGCCACTGCATGTTTTGTACTTTTTAATAACCAACTTTACTGCTTTAATAACCTGTTTGGTTGTTACAGCAATATATTCATAAAACCTACCCTGTCTCTTTCTGCATCCTTCAACTGCGTTGAGAAATCCCGCAAAGCAATACGAAGCGTCTCCGGGTCGATGTCCACCACAAGTTGTTCCAAGCGAGATGGCGACATGCTACGGGTTGGGCTGCGGGATCTATCTGGTGATCCGGTAGTAGGAATCGGGCTTCCTCGGCCATCTGTGGTTGTAGTGAACGTGTTGTCAAAGCCTGGTGTAAGCAGAAGTGTTAGTGTTATCGCACAACACAACAAATAAGCCATGCATTAAATAATGGATAAATTTTATTAAAATGAGTTGTTTTTTTTAAAGCATGAACAATTTGATGAAAATAATAAAGAATGCTGGTCAAACATCAAAGAGGTGCAGTAAAAAGAAAAATCATTCTCTAGTGTCCTTATATTTTGCAGTTCCACAAGTGAATCAAGGCCTATACAGGTCTCGATCCACAAGTGAATTGAGACATACACAGGTCTCCCTGTAATTATGGAATACTATTGATGATAAATATAAAACATGCACAAATGTTAAATTATTTAGAAAACAGGTGAAAATCAATTATTTAGAAATGTATCAAATACAACTTTTTAACTTTTGTTCTTAATTGTAAATTTTTTAATGTTGTTTAATTCTTTGTTCGTTTATATATTGATTTATATTTTTCGTGATTATGATTTGTGTCTCGTCCAGGTCAAGCTGAGACAAGCTCAGCTTCTAAGCTTGATCCAAATTGATGGATTCTTGTATTGTTTTTTTTTTCCCATTGATTGAATAAATGTGTGTAATGAACTAAATTAATTAAAGATCACTCTAAAAAAGACCACCTCAAATTAAAGAACTCTTTTCTGTTGTCCAATATTAACAAATGTGCCGAAGACCATCCGAACCAGTCACTTAAATATATATTAATGTTATTATTACAGGGTTAAAGAGTAAAATGTAAGTTATAAAATGAAGAATCATTTAAATCCAACATTTTGTAATGAAGTTATAGGAGTTAAAACATACAGCTGTTCAAAGAACAGTATTTGAGAAATAGCTTTCGAAAAACTTCAGAGATTTCTCGTGCAAACACCATCATCAAATCGTTGAAAAAAATGTTGTTTTAACGTGGAAGATGGGAACATTAAAAAAATGGCATAATGTAAAAGTTAGTTTAGCGCAATATAACAAATTTGAAAAATTTTGATATTTCCAACATGTTTTGGCTAAATTATCTCCAAAACATGATTTGCGAGAAGTGACTGGTTTTGCTTGTATTCGCAGTATGCGAAAATAGCCTTCGAAAATTTATAATTTTAGAGATTTCTCATGCAAGGGCCATGATCAAATCTTTGAGAAATGTTGTTTCATCATGGAAGATGAGGAAAATAAAAAAATACCATGATATATAAACATTAGTTTAGCGCAATAAAACATATTTGAAAAATGTTGACATTCCAACGTGTTTTGGCCATTATGTCCAAAAAAAGATTTGCGAAGAGTGACTGGCTTTGCTTGTCTTCAAAATAAATATTTTTTATCTTTATTATTCTACTTAGAAACCAAAAGCTGCTAAAGATATGATTTGATTAATATATGTCCATTAAATTATATGATGATGTTTTAAGTAAAATCAATGTTTCATGCAATAAAATGTGATGAAAGCATGCAGGTGAAACCGATCAATGCACTTGATATCTGATAATCATTTGGCATCAAAAAATACAAATTGATATTCATACACAATATTTAAATATAAATTACTCCCAATATATATCATTATCAAAACTTATTAGTATTATCATATGACACATAAATATAATTTAAATTTAGATTTATCTAATATTAACAAAAATATTTATTTCAAAGAATAATTATTTATTATTATTATGATAACATTAATACGAACAAAAGTATTCACAAAGGTAGTTTATTTTACAAAAATTGTATCACACTACAAGCTACCATTTCACTCAAAAGCCTTTTTTTTTTTCAATTAAGCTTGGTTTCTATAGAATCACTGCAGAGGCACTACAGCATTTTAGCTGCAATCTTAGCACTCTATAGTTGTCCCTGACACAATCGTAACGCTCCCCAATTCAACTGGCCAATCAGCGTCACCAAAGGAGTCGGCGATAGCATGTTTCTTTCTTTTTATGAAAACCAAGTTTAGTCTCCCAATTCTAACCTTTGGTTGGTGATTTAGCTCTTCGTCTTGTTGGACTGGGGCTTCTCGTGCGATATGGGCTTGGTGAACGTCCAGCAGCACCAATACCAAGAGTTCGTCTCAGGGTGGAGTACAAGCTACCTAGCTTAAACTCAGATTCCTTTTTGGAGCCTAGGAGGTAGAAAACCCACACAATTTTAACACAGATATAATTTAATGGTATTATTGTATTGCTCTGGATAAAGACATGAAACATTTTGTAAACAAAAAAAAACAAACAAAAAACAACTACTGTACTTCACCTTCGACCTGTGCCAGTTGAGCTTCTAGTCCATTGATACGGCCCTCAGCTGCACTGAGCTTCAACTTAATGTCGCTGAATTCACCGGCTAGTCCGTCTAAAGTAGACTCACTGTCTCGGAGACGCTCCTGAATCTTACGCTCCTTCATGCTTGCTTCATCCAATGTGGCATGGAACTGTTTCTCTCGCAGACGCAGCTCTTCATTCAGGTCATTGAGTTTCCTCTTTAGGTTCTGAACCTCTTTACGAGCGGCTTCTCTTCCAGTTTCCGTTTCCATGACCTAAGGTTCAAGATTCAATAGACTGCATTGTCCACACGCATATTATAGTGGGGGTATTGTGGGTAATTTTATGATGGCTACCCTATTTTTAAGTTGGATCATTTGTATGAGCATTTTCAGATGCTTTGGGGGAGGTTTTGCATTAAGACACAATGCAAAGGCCCTTTATGCTCTTATATTTATTGCTAATACAGTACAATCTCTATTAAGGGACCACTTTGGGACCAGAAATAGGGGTGCTCCAAACATCTTCCTCACTTCATAGCCAAAAACTGTCCCCTTAATAGGGATATCCCCTTAAAATGGGTGTCCCTAAAGAGAAGTTTTACTGTAACAGTTTAATAGAATATATTATTCAAAATGAAATAACAGGCCACTGCATATTAAAAATTTACTGAATCAATTTATTATATACAATTGAATTAACACTTTAACATGATGTATATGTTTTGAGAAATGCTTTATGTGTTTGTTAAAAGCACATATTATTATTTTCCTTTTTAATTTCTTTTTGTACTTTCTAGTTATTGTACGAGCTGGCAAACCTGAGTGCTATATAAATCCAAATATAATTGTTACTTCAATCTTGATTTCCTCTGTAACTACTTTGAATGTGTGCTTGCCTTGTGATTGTTGATTCCAATAAATTAAATTTTTACGCCACTGTTTCAAAGGGTAGTTTTTTTAAAAAACATTAAAAAACACCTAATTGCTAAAATAAAATAAATTGTATTATGTAAAAGAAAACGAAAGTGAGTACACAATAAATTTATACCTTTTGTTTGAGGCTAAAAATCTCTCTTCTATGATCCTCAATCATCTCATTGTCGTGGGCCACCTTGCCTTGCAAGTCACGGTTTTCCTTCATCTTTTTTGATCTGTCGCCCTCTAGAGTTTTCACCTTTATGAAAGTGTAATCAATTTAATGGTACTGCGAAACTGAGCTTTATGTGAAAATAAATGCTAAAATACTGAACGGTAAAATTTGAAAATCATAAATTCACCAATAATGCCTATCACTATAAAATCTTCTATGAATAATATCCTATGAGATAACGTATGTGACGTGTTCCCATGAAACTCGGACACATTCAATACATTAACTTTTGCAAAAAACCAACAATGAACTTGTCAGGTTAAAAGTGATCAACTTTGATATTTTGACTGTACTATGTTCATATACTATCTACTATCTGGCAAACAGTTAAAAAACCTGAAAACTGCAAGTTATGATTTTGTTATTACATTGCTTTTTTTACAATTGTTTCAGGCCCAAGGCTAATAATATGCAAAACCACAAACTTGATCATTTATCTGAGTGGCATATCCCTTCGCAAAACAAGCATAAGCACAAAATGCTCTACATCACAGGTGGGCAATGTGTGGCCCGTGGGCCACATGTGACCCAACAGCGATGGTTAAAAAACGATAAAGGTAGCAGCGTCATTGTGCTGAATTGCGTATGGGCGTAGTTTGTGACTACCTAGCAGCCATAAAGAGGCGCTTAATGGTAGATACATGTTCACATCATTCCACAACAACAGGGACTAAAATAAACCATAATATCAAGGTAACCCCCTACGCTTTCGAAAGATGCAATGGGTTCTTTAAAGTGCACACGAGCCAGATGTATACACCGAACCTCCATTTTAAGTCCTTATCCGAGAAAACTTGGTTCTACCGACCGAACCATGGGCGAAGAGCGGTTGGAACCAGCGCTGATGTTAAGGCTGTAGCTAGCGGCACCCCTGCCTTACCGCTCGGCCACTCGACTCCCTAAAATTCTCGGAATGGAATTGGTAACCTGGACAAAAAAAAAATCCCCCAATCTCAGAAAGCGACATGGCCCCTGGCCCCATCGTTATGCCACTGTACCCATCCCTGCTGTACATACACTATCTCATTATGAGGCTTAGGTCGTGGAGTTGTTTCGGGTTGTGAAAAAAAAAATCCTGTTACCATGACGGGAATTGAATCCAGGACTCTGGTACTGGAAGGCAAGCATCATAACCACCAACCTATTCAACTCCGTATATATTAGGTTGCTAAGCACATGCTTTTCTCAGTTGCCCTACTGGTACTTCAAAGTCAATTGCTCATAATTCCAGAAAACTGACAAACCAACTGAGTTACATATCATGATTGAAAATATTCACAAATACACTCCAAAGCGAAATTATTATAGAATATATTTATATAAAAGAAACATGCTTTAATATATGAAACATTGTCTGGTTTTTGTGTCATTTTATAACAATTAGTCAATTCACTATGCTAAATTTGATTATAAAAATAGTAAAACAAATTAAAAACAAGCCTGTCGAGACTATCGAATTTTATTTGAAGAAAAATTCCCAAATATGGTCATGATGACATCACATCATGAACATATATAGGCACATCATGACTATATATAGGCATGCAACTGTTGCATGCCCATATATAGGCACATCAGGACTATATATGGGCATGCAACAGTTGTTTGTCATTACTTACTTGTCGACGGAGTTCCTGCAATTCTCGTCGTGCTTCCAATCTGGATTTCTCAACTTCACGCAGACTTGCTCTTAAGTTAACAGCTTCTTTCTGTACGCCATCTTTGGCCTCGTCAAGAACTAGAAATTACCGAACAAAGACATTTTATTTGAACCAATTATTGGCAATCCAATATAACAATTTTATCTTTATTTTAAAACAATTTGAATTTGTTAATTAGCTTTCTTTATGAATACATAAAAAGCAACAAAATCATTTTATCAATGCAAAAGATTTGTATGAGTACATTTTAAATCTCACCTCCAATTTTCTGGTTTTTATCTTCAATACTACGGTTTAGGGATATCTTATCACTTTCGACTTTCTTTATTTTGTTACGGAGCTCCTCATTGGATACCTGGAGGGCTTCTTTTTCCAACACTTCATCATGAAGTTGACGTTTTTGATCTACCACCTCCTTCCGAATTAATTCACGGGTCTCATCAGCTAAAATCATTAAAAATTTACAATTATTATTAAAACAAATTTGTTTTCCCTGTCCCCAGCCTAGCTGGTACCCAATTAAACTCCTATGTAGAGTGAGACAAACATATTATATAAAGTGTCTTGCCTAACAGGCAAGACACAGGTGACTTGCATGATGAGGGTTTCCAACCTCTGACCTCAAGGTTGAGATTTCAAGCCACAACCATGCAACAACCACTTCCACTACACAAACATGATATTGTTCATAATATGCCAGGTCTTGTGACAAAATGAGTTTTATTGTACACTAGATCAATTTAAAATATTTAAGAAAATATATATGAAGTAATATTTTGACAAAAATTGGGTTTCAATGTTTCTGATAAGTTTAATAGGTATATTTAAAGATCACAAATGTTCAGAGTTTATTTAAAATAGTCAAAATTGTTTTTGAGGCACATTTTTCAAAGTACTTTTTCAGAACCAATAGGAAAACCAATACAAAATTTATCAGTTGTTTATCTTCAGTGCTGATTTTCTCCAAAGTATGTTATCGGACATGGGAATATGAAAAGTTTACTACGGTTGCAGTCAAGTAAGATACTTGATTCAAAGACTAAAATAAAGCTTTTATATAGTCATCTATCTAAGCAGATCAATAAACTAATTATTAATTTTTCGTACAAGATTAATTTTGTCATGACATCTCATGTATGTATGTTACTACAGTTATGCATATCATACTATAGGCCTACCTTCTCTTATCTTACGATGAGCTTCTATTAAGTCTCGTCTGACACCGTCTCTACTCTCCTCCACCATTTTAAGTTGTGTCTTCAGCTCAGACACCTCTCGCATTAATCCTTCCTTGACTTTCTGCAGTTCTTTAATCTGATTGGTCAGATCTTTAGCCTCTTTCTCACGTTCATCCCTGCAAAATATAAAAATATAGGTATTTATGTCTCAAAAACAAGCCAAACCAGTGTATTTGTCAAATTTCAAAAAACAATCTATCTTATTGCACTAAATTAACCACTATATATCCATACATCATGCTATGCCGTTATTTTCCCCATTTTCAATGTTAAAACAACACTTTTTAAGGATAATTTATGTATGAGAAATGCCTGAAATCATAAATTTTGTAGGCTGATTTCTCATATATTGTGCTGCAAACAGCTGCATGTTTAAATGCTTGTAACTTCATAACGAAATGTCGGATTTGAACCATGCCATTACTTTGGCAATATTAAGTTGATTCCAGTGAATGACATATCATTTTAAAGCCCCTAACGTGGAAAATATGAATACATAAAAAAAGTTTCTTGGTTTGGTCACAAACCGTTGCTGGTTTTGGCATGGCTACCCCCATTTATCATTATTACATATCTATTAACAGATATATTTTACATCCATTAATGTAAATGTCTATTTATTTATTAATACACTTAAATATTTTATATATTAGGCATTTACTTACATTGCTTCCTCAAACTTGGCAGTCAGATCCTTGAGTTCTTCATGGGCAGCAGCAATAGCATTCTGCAACATACATTGTCGCAATTAATGCATGGGCAAAAAATAAAAGCATATAAAACAAAGACAACCATAAGTCTAAATTATGTTATATTTTCTATATGTGGCAAACACAAGCCAAACAGTCACTCGTCGCAAATCATGTTTCAGAGATAATGGCCAAAACATGCTGAAATGTCAACATTTTTTAAATCTACTTTTTGCACTAAACTAACCTATATATATATATATATATACATCATGCTATGCTGTTATTTTTCCCATTTCCAATGCTAAATCAACAATTTTGAACGATTTGGTGATGGTTTCTGCCTAAGAAATGCCCAAAATCGTAAACTTTGAAGGCTGATTTCTCAAATATTGTTCTTTAAAACAGCTGTTATGTTTAAATGCTGGTAACATCATAAGGAAATGTTGGACTTAAAAGATTATTTTACCTTTTCATACCTCTCATTTTCATCTGTAACCCTGTATTAATAACTCAAAAATGCGACCAGTGACTGGTTTGGCTTGTCTTTGCCACATATGGTGCTAAAGATATTTTTTGAGGAATTTTATTTTTATAAATTATAAATACAGTATTCCATTATTCAATAGGAAGATATGGTAAAAACTGTGATATTATATCTTCTGTTTTAAAGTATATCTGTTGTCAAAATTACATTGCTAAGATAAATATTATTTTTTTTATCGCAAGATAATTGTGACTGTTGACCTAGATTTGTTGTAATCAATCCCTGAGTTTGAGATGTTTGAATTTGTTATATTTTGATTGGTATTAATTTATTGTAGTTTAATTGCAGTTTATGGATTTTATAACATTTTTCATAAGGTAATTACTTTGTCTCCTTTTAATTACAATTTTGCAATAGCTAATCTCTAAATTAAAATTTAATCAATTTGTATATGATAATATCATATTTTGTATATGATAATATCATATTTTTCTAAATTCATCTTTTTGTAGAGTATGTTTGTATTCTTATGTAAAGAGCATTTAAACATGAATATTCATGAAAAGGCGCTAGATAAATTTGGTAAATAAATAAACAATTTCATGCACATTTATAAATGATGAATAAAATAGTATTATGGCTTGGCATCTTATATAAAGAAAATGTAAACAACGGTAAACAAATCAATCTGTTTTATTAGGCACTACAGTCAACAGACAATCACCATTATTACTTTAACTGAGAAGAATTTTTTAAAAGCTAGAATGAGTGTTAGGACTAAAAAAGTAACTGTATTTAACAAAAATTCAAAATAAAGGCCTTGCATATTGTCAAAGCACTGAAAAGGTAATAATCTAGTGACAATTTTATCTGTGATATGACATCAACAGTACACTTGAGAATATTGGTGGCTCATCAGCAAAACGTTGTGTAATCGTTTTAGCAATATTTTTGGATCAACCAAAAACATTAAATATACCTGTACTAACAATACTATTCTTAAACAGGGATATATTACCTTGTCTTGTTCAGCCCGAGCAAACGATTCACGTTTAAGACGATCCATTTCCATCGACGCATTTACAAGCTCTCGTTGAGCATTGCTTAGCTTTTCAGCCACTTGGTTCTTATCTTGCTGGGCTATGGAGAGAGCCTATAAATAAAATAATAAGTAAAAAAAATTACAAATATTTGATACACTCATAAAACTTAGATAAATATTGCAATAAGACTGAATTCTATATTTTTCCATTTATCATCCAATAATTTACAATTGTAATTAACAATTTTTATATTATGATTCACTTTATACAGTACTATGAAATCATTTTGGATATTTGTCTAGATGCAATTGGATATTTCATCTAATATTTTGGTCCCATAGAGAGGGAAGCATTTAACCCCTTCGGTACCTCATTCCCTACTGGGGACACCACTGCCGGATTGGAAGCATGTGGAATAGTGGTATGGGTTTCTGATCAAAGTATGTAAGGTTTAAGATTTTGACTCATCACTTGAATAAGTTCTAATATCTGGAATTCTTCTTTCCACCTAGGGACAATATTTGTACCTGGAACGATAGAAATTGTTAAATAAACTGGATCACTCACATGGCACTAGAGGAGGTGACTACATATCAAATTCCAGGTAAATGCAACTCATTATGTCTCCAGTGGTAAACACTGCCTTTGGTAAAGAATTACACATAATTAAATATTACCCAACAGACAAAAAACTACCTGCTGTTTGTCGTTTTCTGCCATCAACAGACTCTCGTCTCGGTCTTTCTGGAGATTGGCGATTTCTTCCGTAAGAGCATCCTTCTCAAGCTCATGTTGCATATGCATCTCCTCTTTCTCTTTGGCGGCTTCCTCAATCAGTTTTTCTTTCTCCTCGTTCAGTTCAGAGCAAATTCTCTCCTGAATGCATTTAATTTCAAATTTTAATTTAGCAAGATGATTCTCATGATGATGATGATTGTCATTTTAATAATTGATTGAAATCTTACATCTAATTTCATTTTGTGAACTTAAAGGAGTGTTTAAAAAAAAAGATTCATGTAATTCATTTAAAGAAGATTTACCTTTTCTCTGGACAAACCATCAACCTCATCTTCATGGACTTGCTCTTGTTGCTTAGCAGCCATCTGAGCATCTCGCTCCATCTGAGCAATAGACTGGTTGAGCATCTCTATGTCGCGCTCGCTCTTGGCAGCGAGGATCTCAATCTCTTTGTTCACACGAGCCAGATCAACTGATTGAAATATAAATTATTCAAAGACTTTAACTAATTATCATATTAAATCAACTCTAATTGGCCAGTTGATAAAACATTAGTTGTTTCCTATTAGATCCTTTCTATCTAGGTTCTTTGATTTTAATGGGATTTTCCTTTATTTTCTTAGTTTTTTTTTTATGTAAAGCATATTGGAAACATTTATTTAAGCATTACACACTATATAAGAATAAGATTAAGATTTATCTTATTACTATGACCTGCAAGACAAAATTATGAGTAATGATACTTTTTTTTTTCTGACTCTCTTGCAATAATCACTTTAATTGATTAAATATTCAGAACCCATTACTGAAGTTAAACATTAATCATATCTTTTATTCCATGACGGATATATACACAACTCTCCTTCCACAGGACTGGCTTGATTGCAATAAGCAGCGTAGAATAAAATGTTACAATTTATATAGCGTATATGCTTCATGTCTCCTTTGTACTTGATAATTATAAAAATTATTAACTAATGTGGAAAAGACAAGCCAAACCAGCCACTCGTCGCAAATCCGGTTTCGGAGATAATGGCCAAAACACGCTGCTATATCAAAATTTATGAAAACTATTTTATTGCACTAAACTAACCTTTATATATCTACATATCATGCTATGCTGTTATTTTCCCCATTTTCAATGTTAAAACAACAAGTTTGAACGATTTAGTGATGGTTTCTACCTGAGAAGTTAATGAACAACTACGAAGGCTGATTTCTCAAATATTGTTCTTTAAACAGCTGTATGTTTAAACTCCTGTAACTTCATAAGGAAATGTTGGATTTAAATGATTCTTTCACCATTTTATAGCGCTCATTTTACGGTTTAACTCTGTATTAATAACTAAAAATCAATTTTTGCGATGAGTGACTGGTTGGGCTTGTCTTTAGGTAACATCTTTAAGAACAAATTCAAGCCCTAATATCCAAAATACAGAAATACAGTATACGAAATATTAAGAAATTGTACTAAGGCTTCTAGTAAGTTAAAGGATAGTAAGGATATTTCGCTTGTGAAAATGCATATCCTATACAAGAATACCAAAGATATCTTGGTAAAAAAACAAACACAGACCAAGAAGGCCTGTAAAATTCACAAAATATTTAACAAAAATCTGTACAGTAACATCTGCTGTTGTGTTAATTGGATATTAGAATCGTTTGAAAATTTAAAAAAAATTTAATATTAATTGACCTTTGACACTGTGGAGTAGCTAGGTGCTTAAATATGTTTGTTGCAAATTCAATACTTACCAGTAAGTGCCTCCTTAGATAGCTGGAGTTCTTGAACCTCTGCATCCAGTTGGTCTTTGCGGTTCTCAAGCTTCACTGCTGTTTGCTGCATCTCATAGAGGGCAGTCTCTAGACTTTCTTTGTCACTTGTCAAAGCAGCAATAACCTATGGCCAATAAATTATAGAAAAATATTTTTACAGTTTATTAAAAAAATAAATGATTAAAATTGTATATTTAGGCCATATTTATTTTATAATATAAAACAAATCTTTAAAGAATAGAATAAATAAATATACAACAAACATTTACAAACATTTATATCTGTCTCTTATACACATCTAGATGTGTATAAGAGATATCATGTTCAAATATAGTAAATATAAAATATATAACACAATTAATTATAAAACCATAGTAAAACCTAAAGATTGATTATAGCAATATATAATAATATATAATATATGCGAAAACTAAGTAGAGTGATGCAGAAACATAATGGTAATACCGGAGATATAGCAGAGTTACATTAGAGAATAAAACCACCAATTTTGAGATATTAGAAATATAGTTGTTTTAAGTAATAATAACATACCATCATGTATATAATGTTTAGGTCACAAATACAATAAGGTTTTTAATAAATAATTTTGTGATGGATTATTGTTATTTTATTCCTGGTGAAATATCAGGATTTTAATCTAAAAACAACCTCACTTCTGAACCATATACAATTACGTGGCGGTTGAGCTTCAGGGTTTTTACGATGGTTAGTATTGCTGTAGGTCAACTGCGTTAAGTCTGCTTTAAACTAGGTGAATCTATTCGCTCGAATCAAAAGCGTCGGTTCATGAACATTCACATTTCTATCAGCGTTTTTCGCGATTTCGTGAAATCAGTAGTTTAAACTGTTTCTCCTTTTTGCGAAGTGCAAAAATGCGCAACCAATCGGAGCTCAGGAAGCGAACCAACGCTTTGGCTTATCGTAAATATATTCGCCTAGTTTGCCTTTAGCTATTGTATAAAAACACAATAAAGTAAGACATTATTTAAAGTAGCATTTTCGTAGTAGAAGATAAAGGTAAATGCAAGCTCAATGTTATAAATATCATCAGTAATTATTAGAGATTACAATAAATGTCTTAGAGTGATAAAGATTGGAATAAATGCAGACCGTTTCATTAGATTTTGTAGTAGTATTGATTGTAAATTTTTGTACATTGTACTTTAAATTAAATTTTATGATCGGTGTTATGAATAGTACTGCCATTTATATGCAAAACTGAAACTTAATATTACAAAATACAATACGAAACGATACAATTGTATTCGTCCATCAAAGGAAATTTATTATTCAATACGTAATTGCTCTTCACAAAGAGAGGAAAGAAAAGTAAAGCTCTCAACGACCTTTGGTCCACAAAAACAGTTCACCTTCCAATTTGAGACCACATTTGGGACCTGAAAATTTGGGATGGTCTCCACATAGAGGGTAAGCTTTGGGTTAACAAATTGAAGATTGTTATTTGGTTCCTTGAAAAAATGGTCTTTAATTAGAGGCGTCTTGAGGTCGAGTGTGCACTGGATACAAACCAAATTAAATAAAGATATATGAAAATTACTATCGCTGTAGTGTTATCATTATTGGCTATGTTCAGCAGACAAAACGATTTACGCTAGCATAACGTTAATTGACTGGTATGAACGCCAGTAATAATGCACAATCACAGGCGTACGATAATCCACCAACAGACCTCAATTAGCATACGCCACTGAGTAACGGCAGTCATGCATCAATGGTTTTGAACTCAGCCAGGATTTAACCAATCACAATAAAAGCATAGATGTAAACAGGAAATAAACTGTGTGATTACAAATGAATATTTCGAGCGAATACTTATATGCTAGCATTACATTAATTGCCCAGTCTGGACATCTCGTTATAGTTACACCATGAATTATACGCCATGGATTAACATACGCATGCCCTCTGTTAGATAAGCCTCCCGTATCTTTCAGGTCTGAATGTATAGCCTAACTTTAAATTTTAATTAGAAATTTGACACTATAAAATTATGATTTTTTTTTTTATTGTTATGTTCATGATTTTTAAATACTGAGCATTCGTAATTACTCTCTTTAAATTCATACAATAAGCTCCAACACCCTCGACCCTTAAGTAAATATTATTCATTTCTTTCAAATAGCAACAGTATTTTCTCATTTTCAAGCATCACAGAATAGTAGTTCTAAACTAACTGCAGGTTAAAGTCCAGCACCCTTAGAAGATGGCTTTCCTGTAAATTTGCTTCGAAGCAAATACAGTACAGTATTACTTAAATACGCCTCTACCTTAGAGGAGGCACGTTGCTGTGCATGAAAGCTATTCTGTAGATGATTTTTTTGTCGCTGTAATGTTTGTTCTTTCTACATGCAAATTAAACAAATGAGAAGAGAATGACGATGGTGTAAAGCTTAAGGACCCTGTCCAGCCTATCAAATACAAATATTTGATATATATAGTCATTATGTGCCTATATATGGTCATGATGTGATGTCATCATGATGTCACATTTTTATTAAAATATGATAGTCTGGACCAGGCTTAAAGCCAGGCTCTGGAGGAAAAACGATTTCTGATATCGTCGCTCACATCACGAGTAGCGCGTGAAATCAGAGTAGTGCGTCAAAATGAGCGTGTATTGGTTTTCAAGCACTTTTGTATTCTTTACCACACAAAATGTTGTTTACAACAACAGCGCACATTTTGACGCGCTATCTTGATTTCACGAACTAACACAATCTACTTTGATTGCGTTAGTTCGTGATGTGAGCGGCGATATGTTGTACAGTTGATTTCTAAGACGCAAATAGGGTGTTTGACAAAAAACTTGGGAATGATTAAAAAGACAAAGATTTTTGAATATTTAAAAACAGGGGAAAATAGTGGAGTAACCACCCTATTTTTTCACCATTTTCGAAATATCAAAAAATCTGTAATTCATTACCTGTTCCCAAGATTTCTTGTGTCTCAGAAAATGAGTTGTACAAGATATCAACAATTTTTCTTCCTTCCAAAGCCTGGCTTTAAAATCTCAAAGCACTTTTCATAGTATCGTAGGCTATTTATAGAAATTATAGGCTTATTAAATAGTACATCCTATGAATTTTATGAGAAAGAATACGTAATTTGTATTACTAGTAATCAATCTTAGAAAGTAAATACTATTTGGATGGTGATGTAATGCTTTGTCTACACTATCAAATTTTATGTGACAAAAAATTGTGATGCGCCCATATATGGGTACGATGACGTCATATCACATACTATAAAATTGTATCAAAACAAGTTGAACATGTTCAATTCTTATGTTCCATTACATTTTATGTGACATTTTTTAGATGAAATTTGATAGTGTAGAAAAAGCTTTAACAGAATATATAGTGTACATAGTTTATTTACCAAGATATTTTACAAATGTACATATAAATTCCCTATATTCATATTAGTTGTAAAATTATTTCATCTTCATGTAACTGTAAAATGTTGGTGCTACGCTGCTCTCCGTTAGGCATATTCATACCACGAAAAAATATAGGTTTTTCAAAATTGTTATATAAAAATAATATTTAAACTGAATTTCCAATCTTGAGGAATCTAAATATCTACCAATGAGAGGGCAATTAGTTATTAGCCATAACTCACCTCAGACAAAGCACGATTCTCACGCTCTGAAGCCTGTCGAAAAGGAGTCCATGGGCTTCATTTTGAGGCTTAACTTGCAAACGGAAGAGGTGGGCTTCAGTTCGAGATTCTTCTTGAAATTAAGCCCACTGGGCTTCAATTCGAGGTTCTTCGGTATTGTTTAGACCTATTTTGTGTATGGAAAAATTTGCTAGTCTACTTATAGCCTTATATTAGAAAAATTAATAAATTTTAGACAGTGGATATTATTACATCAGTCTTAGACAAATTCCTCATTCTGATTAGATTTTAATGTATATATGGATTAGATTAGGACAATAAAATCCAATCAGAATCTGGAATTTGTTTAAGACTGGTGTAAGAACAGCAAAATATTAATCAGAGTCAGAATTCAAAATACAGTAGAAACCCTCATTTACAAACCCTGCTTTTACGAATTCCCGATTTTACGAACGTAATATAAAGGTGATTACATCATAAAAATTGAAGCGAAAGATTAAAAAATAAAAAAAAAAACCCGCTCGAATTGTACCTGTTATTACCATGCATACAACACAACACACCATACTATACAGTACTATGTAATTCTCAAGTGAAGGAGGCCCTCTAATGGGCCTCTTCAAAGTCTGTTTTTTACATAAAGCTATTATTATTATACCTCTATGGTTTTTTATGGCTTCACACATGTGCATGCGACAAATTTTACTTCTCTTTCAAACATCGTTTTCAGAATATAAAATTCAACATTGTGCTTGATTGTTTTATTAAATGATCTATATATAAAAAAAAAACAAGTATCTATGGAAGTTGTGTTGGAATAAAATCCACAATCTAGGTATTTAAGAAGGTAAAAATGTCCGATAAAAACAAATTTGTGCAGGGCCTAGAGTGGGATCAGAATGCTTAGAAGCTGCCAACTGTAGGCCTAGGCCCCCTCAGACTTAGCTGCATAAGCCTGTAGGCCTAGCATAGGCCTAGTTTATGCCAGTGTAAGTAGTACCAGTGCAAATATATAGGAATTTGGGTCAACACCGATTTTACGAATACCCAAATTTACGAACGGCTCTGGGCCCGTGCCGTACGTAAATGAGGGGTTCTACTGTATCAATATTAACATACCATGGTTTATCTGGTAAATATGGTTTTCCTTTGAAAAGTGTATTGTATGGTACTTTTAACTTGCCCATTGGACAAGAATGCTGAACCAAGCACCCATGATTACAGTGGTTAGGGAACCCATTTGACAGCAAGAGGTCAAAGGTAATTTTATTTTAGATTTATAACATTTTTAGCAAAAAAAAATGAAATTTTTAACACATTTTAATGGATAAAAATAATGAATATAAACAGTTTTCCCCATAAGAAAATGCTAGATTGGTAAACCTTCAATTTTTTTTAAAGTTTATTTTACTTCACACAATGCAAAAATACATTAGAAAATTCTTCTGAAAGCAATATGCTGATTGGATTGATTTATTTTATACATGAATTATAATTATGGTACAATTTATTATATATAAGTGTGCTATTTCTTTAAATATGAGGTTACTGTACGATAGAAATTGAAATTTGATGAACAAAAGTCGGGTGACCCCACAAAAGATAAAAAAAAAAAAACATACCACAGCCAATCTGTCATGTAGGTCCGTCTTTTCCTTCACAAGTTGTCCAAACTCTTCCTCCAGCCGTTCCCTACTCTGTTCAGCAAGATTTAGACTCTGATCCAGACCCATCTTTTCCGTTTCTGTATCCATCTTTTCATTCTCAACTCTAACAAGCTCTTCACGAATGCTGGATTTCTCCTGCTCTAGTTCACCTTTCTCCGACAGAAGAGCTGCTTTTTCACTCTCCATCTTTGAATAAACAACACAAAGACATCTCCCGAATAATCTAACCACATTGCCTTAAGTCACTCATTGTATGATGTCAATAGATTGAAGAATACAGCATTACATGATGACTGACCAACAACAATAAACACTGTTTAATTAAAGATCCCTTATATATTTACTTTTGAATATCACTATCTACAAGGAAATCATTTGGCACCAACATTTTTACAATCTTACTGCAAATAGATATTCTTGTATATTAACCAACACATACTTATTGCTTGTGAACATAATCTCAGTAACATGAATATTCATCTAATTTAATTATCATATTTGAATATTTATGAAATTGAAAAGAAGGCTTTTAGTGTACAAAACTTTTACTCAAATAATATAAAATATGCACTATTCTAAATATCCAGAAACAATAAACCTGAACACTGAACCTAGTTAACTAATGTTTACATTAACAGTTATTCAATATATTGAATATCAAAATTATATAACTAATATTGTGTAATACAAATGGGATGAATTAACCATGAATATTTATAAATTACCATCATAATGATCTTGTTGAGCTCAATTTTATCTTGGCCAAGGCCTTCATTCAATGACTGCATCTTAATCAATGCATCCTTTAAGGCAGCTTCTTCGTTGTTAAGCTTATTCATGTTCAGATGTAGCTCAGCACGATGACGTTCAGCCTGGGAAAGCGCTTCATCTGTAATGTTGAAAAAATGTGAGTAAGTGATCATTGGCCTAGCAATGATAAAACAGGATATGAAGATTTATGATTTATAATGCAGTTTAGGAATCAAGAATAAAATTAATTAGTTTGCTTCTTACGATATATATTATACATTAAAATGTAATACACATATTAGGTTAAGTTTCAAATCTATGTACTCAGATTATCTCTTTCTCTGTTGATTGTTTTCCTCCAACATGAGTATGGGTACTTAGTAAATTGCTGCAACACAAAGCTAAGTATAATTATTCTGCATGTAGGCAATCATGAATTTAATGACAAAAATATAAAACGTTAAGGAAACTTACTGATCTCTGCTTTCTCTTGTTCCAGCACCTCTTTTTCTAAAATGGCTTTGTTGAAGGCTTCCTTCAAAGCTACTATCTCTTCCTTTAAGGAGGAGTTCTTGCTCTCTACCTGGTCAATCAGTTTGTGGCTGTCGAGAAAAAATGTAAATCAATCAAATTTAAAACATGTCCGAAAGGGGGTAGTGCAACTGTGGGGCCAATCGAGACAACACTACCCTTCGGGATCCAGGGCTTGCCCAGCAAAATTGTTGTTTTCTAGATGTGAATCCCTTTAAATCAGATGCTGCATTAGAAGTGTGATGCACAAATTGGATTGCATAGGCTAAAAACTAAGCATGGTCTATTATTTGTACTTTTCAACATCATGAACTAAGCAAATAAAAACAAAGAAATTGTTCCAAAAATTTAATATTTAGTTTCCTGCAGAAAACACAAAAGCATTAAAATTAATAATTTTCAATATAATGGTGAAATCATTGTTTTAATTCAAATTCAACTAAAATATTTTTTATTTTGATATTTGATTAGCATTTCTTGGCAAATATTTATTTTTTTTTTAAATAAAAAAAATACCTGCCTCTAATTTCTTTTAATTTGGGTCAGAAATTCATGTAGGATTGGTGAAGTTTTAAACTAAACAAGTATTTTTTTTATTTGGCCTTAATTTGCAAAATTACTTAATCATCTTAATTATCTTTAACTCAAAATAGAGCACTCGTATTTATTCATTTTCATTGGTTCTGTAAGCCAATAGTCAGTTACACACATCATTATGAAACCTGTTAAATCAATAGCTGGCCGGCCTTGGTCGGTCGGTGAAACGGTGAGATGATATGTGATTCTATTCTCTTTATCTGTTTTGTCAGTTATACTGTTTGGTTAGTTTAGGTTATTTCCAGATAAATTTATTTCCATACTTCATTCACATTTATTTTTCGAGCGCATTGAGACGGTTTCCATCGTGGAAGGCGCTATATATACAAAACCATCTATTGCCATTAATAAGAATCCATTTAGAGTAAAATCGAACAGACAAAGTATGAATGTTATTACTTACCTTCGTTCAATTTCCTTCTTTTGTCGTCCCATGTCCTTCTCTCGATCTTCATTCTCATCTTCTAGGTTATCCCTCTGTCGCTGCAGGTCAGAGTTGGCCGCCTGAAGGCGTTCGCATTCCAAGTTTAGGGCTTCAATCTGGTCATTCAGGCTGGCTCTTAGGTTCTCAAGGGCTGATTTTTCACTGGTAAAAAACAAAACACTTACGAAAGTTACATCAGCAAAGTTAAGTAAGTGTATGCTGGGTATCAATGAATAAGGTAAAAATAAGGGTTAGAACCTGAAGCTCTGGGCTCATAGGCCAGAGTGCCCATATCACTTTCCTTGGCATTTGGGCCAGATGTGCAAGGCTGTGGTGGGTTCACAGTAGTCTGTTTAACTTTGATAGAATATGCCAGTACCCATATATACGCCTGGGTAGAGAGAGACAAACATAGACAACGTGTCTCGCCTAAGGAAAAAAGCGATTACCACAGAAAGGATTTCAAAGATTTCATTTTCATAAAATGAAAAATGCTAATAAAGATCCTTCAAATATAATAGTTGCCTAAATAACGTTTAAAAGCCTTGCCCTATGTAAACAAAATTACAGTTTTCCCTCCAATTAAGGACTACTTTTGGGACCGGGGTTTTTAAAGGCTTCAGCAGCTTTAGTCTCTAATTAGAATACAAAGACATTTGTTAATTTGGGACCACAGAAAAGTGGTGTTTATAAATTGGAGTGGTCTTGAATTGGAGTGGTCTTGAATCGATAGGGTCCTTAATTGGAGGGGTCATTAGTTGGAGGGGTCTTTAATTAGTGTAGTACCTTCCGGTAGCCTCTAGAGAGTTCCTCAATCTGTCGCGATCACGGCGGATGTCATCAGCCTGTCGCTTAGCAGACTCTAGTTCTTCCTTCAGTACCATGTTCTGTCGCTCCTGTTGGCGATGGTCATTCTCGGCCCTCTCCAGATGTTTCTTTAGCATTTCACCTTGGTCCTTAGATGAACTTAGCTTAGCTCGCAGTTCCTAGTCGGAATATAAATAAAACGAAAGTTACATTACCTATGAAAATTTAAAATTTCAATTGTTATTATTGCTGAAAATTTATTGAAGGCTTTTATCTTCATGCAGTATTTGTATTACTTCTTTCATTTCTGTAGATTAATAAAAACTTCATCATAATACCTGCACTTGTAGTTGACGCTTCTGCAGAGCAGCTTGAACAGCGGAGAAGGTTGACTCTGCAAACTGTGGAGAACCTGGTCGCCCGGGAGAAACACCACGTCTCGATGGGGAACGAGAGTGCCGAGATGGTGACAAGGATCTAGAGCCACGCAAGAGCCGAGATGGTGATGGAGATCTCATTGGTGTTGACCAGGCAAATGGTGTGGGGAATGTGATATCGCCATCTTCCTTCGTTGGATATTCAGATGTTGGTTCTTCTGCATCCTGAATGACGGCTTGTGCAATGTCACGGAGTGCCGTGTGCAGGGCATCACATTCTTCTCGAAGTCCTTGCAGGTCTTCTGCACTATCAGGAGCATCTTTGCCGTACTCAGTTTTACCGGCATCAGCTCCATCCATAGGCTTGTTCATTGTGCGAACCAAGTTGTCTTTCTCAGCAATCTGGATTTTATATTTCTCATTCATGACAGTCAGCTCATTTATTCTAAAAAAAATTATTTCAAAATTGTCACTACAAATTTAATTATACAATTTTAGACAATACCAAGTACAACATACAGTAGTTATATAAATTTGACAAAAATTAGTACAAAATTTATTTTATTTTAGTGAATCAATGATTAGACTCCTGAAACACACTGAGGCATGTTTAAGAGGGTAATCTGAAAAACAAAATACCAAACCTGGAGTTAAGATCCGCTTTCTCCGCATCAAACTTAGCCTGCATGTCTAAGTTGTCTTTAACCTTCTCACGAAGCTGGGACTCCAATGCCAAACGGTCAGCTCGTTCTTTTTCGATGTGGGCGCCGCTGGAGGCCTCCGATGATCGGATGTTTGATGCCAGATTGAGGCATGCAGAATGCATGTTGCGTGAAGTACGGTTCAGGTCAGCGCGCATGTGCGACACATCCCTACAAATGTTACAGTACACAAAATATTGCAATAAGTCATACATAGCTATTTCATATTTACTGTATTTTATTATACCTCCCCGACACTCTTAACAAGAGACATCATAATACTAGGATAGTATCTACCACTTTAGGTCTCAAGCTATTTTATGTCTTTCGATCAGTGGTGACGCCAAGGTGCTCAGACAGGGGTCCTACAGTAGGTTCTCGATGAGAAGTTCAAAATCACAGACAGGGTCAAAATTGGAGGAAATTTCAAGAATAAGCACAATGCCAAGAAACGGGATGCTCGAGGCCATAAAAATTAATGGGAAGAAGTGATTGGCTTCCGAGTTCCTTGGCGAGTCCTCTGATCCTGGACACCCAAGGCCCCTCTAATTTTAAGCAATTTTCAATCACCCCACATTTTTAGGTCCCCAAAGGTGGTCTCAAATTGTAAATTTTTTTTTTTTTACTTTTAAGACTTTTGGAGTAAAAGACCATTTTACTCGTAAGCAGAATTTCAACTCTAGTCTCTGCAATTACAACTCGATGTGCTTTATCTTGATTTATTATATCCTTATCTCACAGGGATTGGCAATATGTGTTCATAGAATTGCACTACTGTATACTGATATTACTAGAGCTTCTGTTTACATTTTGATAACAAAAAATTGAAATAAACCTATTTAATGGTTAATTACTTTAACTATTCAATACCATATTATCCTTTTTCAAAAGAAAAAAATCCTTCAGGCAAAAAATTAATATTATCAATAACATTATTAGCAGAGTTTGCACAAAATGAGAGCTGGCATCATTAATATGTGCTTATGTTTTAAACCACTACATTTATCGTGTCTCCTTCAATACACTTCACTTTATTTGATTAAAGTAAATTATTAACTCTAAGCTCTAAAAGCATTGTTTAAATAGCCGTAGTATATAGCAGTTTAAGCTATATCATGTTTTCCAATCAAATAAATAGCTAGTGCTTCAAGTTTGTATACGACTCAAGTGCTAATGAGTGGCTCTCTCATGATCTCTTATTTCATAAATTGCTTATATCTTAAAATATTTCTTTATTTGAGAATATGCTTGTTGTAATGTAATGGTCACGCACTTGGTGTCATGCCTTTTTCATAGGATAAGACATGACCAAGTTGTTAGAGTTAATAACCGGTGGTTGTTCATGATGCAACACTTAGCTAGCAAATAAATTTGTTTTTTCATGGATTTGTATTAATTTATAAGGTTTGTTTATGCACATTTATGTGATGCATAATATTTTAAGACCGTATACTTATTTTATACTATGATTTTAAAAGAATTTTGGTATATATTAAAACGCAAAGGAGCTCCTTCCCTGTTCTAGCCAGCTACAAGTTGATAACAACGAATGTATGATTATGCACAATGCTGACAACAGTCAGTGGAATTGTTGCTCTAATTTCAGACAAGACAATGACATTAAACTCTAGTCAAAGTCAAAATAACATTACGAGCAATAAGTCTCCAGACTTACCTCTCAGTTGCAGACTTCATTTCACTAAACGAGCGTCTAAAGCTGACAACAGCACGCCACAACGACAACAATCTAGCGTGTTCATTATTGAAGTACTCGTTGAATGACTGAAAAAGTATATTTATTACGGCATAAATTCATGAAATTGTAAGGAAACAAGACTAGTTTATAAAATTGATTAAGTTATATATTTTATGGGGAAAATTTGACAATAAGATGAACATGATCAATTTACATTAAAAAATGAATTTACTTCTAGATTAGTAGCCACTGTCACGTCTGCCATAAACAGACTGTAGAGTACGGCTAGTTTAAGGCACTCGTGCAGGGTAATAATTCTGCGGAAATTGTGATATGCTAGAACCACAGAGACAAGCAATTTTTATATCTTACTAGAATAGTGTGCAATTCTACAGTTGAATTTCTATCCTGATTATTGATCATCCTGAATTTGTATATATTAATAATATTCAGTAAAAAGCCTAATGACAAAACATAATCATGAAATGGCTGCCCATGGGGGAAAGGTATAAAATGTGTATGCCCAACAAAGGCTCAATTGCAATGAATACCCCAGGCTTGATCATTACCGCTGCTACCGTGTATTAGTCAATTCTTATTTGGTTGTAATACAATTCAAGAAAAACTCTAATTACTTCTTCTGGAGATATTATATTGGTTACATAAGAAAAAAATATGTTATTTTGTCTAGTCTATAAATTGGGAGACAACCTTATACAATTAATGTCAGTACCATAGGCAAGGCACCATCATTACAACATTACAAAATTATCTACAATATTGAAACACGCATGATTGTATTTTCTTCAAGAAATGGATTCAAAATTGTTGATGTTCCAAAGTAATTATTCTACCTTACACAACCAACTAATAGCAAATGAACTGTGATGACAAAAATATTACTGTCATTAAAGTACTGTAGATGCCTCTTCGTATACAGTAAAATGTAATTCTAGATCTACAAGTTATCGTCATTGTCACAGATGAAATTCACTCACCCTTTCCTCCGATCGCCATTCCGATTCCCTTGTCTCCAACTCTTCACGTGCCTTTGCCCAATCCTGCGTGAGCTTGTTGATGTCTTGGGTGAGGTTCTGATTTGCTGCGGTGGCTTGGTCAAGCTGTTCACGCAACATGGAGTTCACGTGAGCCAGACTGGCGCTTCTCTGCTGCTCTTCCTCCAGCTTAATCAGCGCATTCTCCAGATCGGAACTATGCTCTTGCTCAGTCATTCTGAGCCGTTCTTCAGCACTCTCTAGACGCGATTTCAGATCATCAGTAGTGGAGCGAAGCTGGAAAATGATATTTTTGAATTGTTCATACCCAAACTAAAATTTCAAATGTTGTATATAACTATAGAATAGATGAGATTAAGTGCAACAGCTCCACTACTGAATTTTTAGGGAATAATAAGGTGCTGTACTAGACAAATTCCCATACAGGAACCAGACAACTAAAGATAGTCTCTCAACTTACCGAAACAGCTGTGTCAGATTCTGACATCTTGTCTTGTATCTGGGATTCTAACTCACCGCACTTGCGTTTGTACTGGAGTACCTACAATAAAAGTTGTTCAATTTGCATCAAAATCATGTAAAAAAAAAAGTTTACTTGTCAATGTAGGATCTTTTTTTTTTTCCAATTTTACAGAAAATTTTCCAGTTGATTGCATATGATTTTTATTACCAAGTTTTATATATTACCATATTTTGATTGTTGTGTTATGTAATTCAATGTTTTCATTTTAATCACATAAAAAAAAAACTAGTAATAAAAAAATATTACAGAAAATAGTGAACAATTAAGGAATTTAATTTATTCTTAAATTATATTGCAGGATATATCAGAGTGAAATGTTAGTAATGGTGTATTTCACAAAATCGATTTTATAGTATACTCTGTTTTTGAAAACATCTCTTGTTTTCCTTCCTACTTCAATTCCAATTTAACAGACATAAAAAAAATATTATGCTTCCACAAGGTAAGTTTGCTATATTTCTGAAGATCAGTCGAACATAATAAACATTAATTTGCTGACCTGGCAATGTCGTAGTTTACAGTACATTGTGCCGTATTATTCTCGTTACATTAGCAAAATTATTAATCACCATTAAAAGGCTTTAATGGAAAAACCGCCTCAAAGTGAAGTGAAAATACAGGCAAAATTAACAATAATATGAAATCAATAAATACTGTAGGGTTTTTAGGCAATTCAAACTACCGCTACATTAAGAAAATACAGAAGAAATGTTTTGGATTTTATCTTAATTTTCTGTATGAAAAAGTAGATTCTAAAAGTGTAATATTTATGTTTTTTTCAATGCTATTATTAATGTTACTCAATTAGTAAACTATTCAATTCGTTTTCTTTCTATTTCATGTAGAATACATCCTGTATACTATGTAGTGTTAATAAACCTGATAGATACTTTGAATACATTTAGATTCTAAATGTAATCAATCTACAGCATTGTTGATCGATTTGAATTGTATACTGGAAACGTAAAATTATACATAATCTATTTCATTTTATAATTTGTACATCTTATCAACTTTTGTATTTTAATTAAATAATGTAAATATTTCGGTAATATTATTATTACTTATTAAATTGTTAATGTTCATGTGTGAGTAATTTAAGGTCAGTATGGTTTAAGGTCAAACCCATAATACTAAGAAGAATGATATTCCACCTCCATTTTAAGGCTGAGCAGCACGGCAATGCAACAGAAGTACGCACATCTCGGGACATCAAAGGTTGTAACTCTGGCATCGACATTCTAGGTATGCGTGTGTCCCTACACGCTGAATGTCACAAAAACCATCACAACCAGACCATAAACCGTCAGCGTACATGATGAATTACCCATGAGCGTGTTACTGTAGTTTAATTTTCTTGGTCAATTTTCACAAATCAAATTGCAGTTTATAGAAACATTTAACAAGCTCGCGGTCAAAAGAAATCAGATGTTAAACAGACATTGCGAAGTACCCAAAATTAATAAAATAGTACACCATAAAACGAATGGCACGCATAGACTAATAATTGACGGCTGTACTCGCAACTAGTATCGGATTGTCGATGCCACAGTTAAGACCAAAGGACTGTACGCACGCGCTATGTTCGAGAGCGGAGTTGAATTACCCTGTGAGCAGTCATTTAGTAACTGGACTACAGCCCAGTGGCAGTGCCAGAAAATCTCCAACAAAGAATGACAGGGGATCCAAAGTCTTGAACGAAAGGTCCAAATTTCTTCACTGGGTCACTAGATGCCCAAAAATAAACTCTGAGGCATTTTGGGCATTCAATTTTTTCTTTCTTTTTTTTTTTGTTATATTACTTTGCAAAAGGGCAATTTCATAGTGCAGAGTGATTTTTTGTAATTTTTCATACTTATCAAATCCCAATGACTGGTGGCAATAATGTAAAGTCCTTGGGGCCTTCTTAGCATAAAGTAGGTACTATATAAATCTATCATTATTATTTAGTAAAGCGATTTTATGGAAGCCAGGATTAGTCTACTGTAGCAAAGGCTACAAACCATGCAAAGATAAACATCGACTATTACTTTACCTTAGCCTGTAGTTTCTGGACCAGTTGAGCCTGACGTTGCTGGCCATCCTGGTAAGCCTGCAGTTTACGCTTGTAGTTAGAATGTTCTTCTTCCAGCTTACGACGAAGCTCGATATTTTGCCCGACTAAGCTTTTGTTTTGTTCTTCACGCTCTTTATCGGTAATATCAGACTTGAATGACTGCTCCAACTGAATGTATACAAAAGAACATAGTCATGAATAAAAGAGTGACACTAATTCAATATGGTGATTGTCATCAGTGATCAAAATGTGAGACAAGTCTCTTACTCTGTATGTGATTACTCTTGAATAAAACTGTATAGTATCTGTCTCTTATACACATCTAGATGTGTATAAGAGACAGTTTTAAGGCTTCTGGGCTCCTAGAGGCCCAACCTTCTTTTCTTGTTTCAGTCTATGTTCCTACATACTGTAATAGTTCATTTAAAATGATTACGTGCAAAAAGAGCCTACAAGATCTTACACCAGGGTAAATTGTATGTTGACCAGTAATTGACAGGCAACACAAATAGTAGAGGTGTCCCTCAAGTAGATCACAATACCCACAGTATTGATTATGCAAAAAAGCAGATCAATCAATTTACAGTAGATCTTCTTCATATAACGGTATCATCAAAAGTCAACTATCCCCTACTTATACACTTTTAATGAATAAATTAAAACCTTGAAATGGTAATATTCTTTTTAGTACTTTGCTTAATTAACCATTATAACATAAAAAAAAAACACATTTCAATAGATTGAATTAGGTGGAGCTGTGACACCACATACATCTTGAATAGTGCATATAATTACAATAATATGCTTGCATTGAGCTTAGTACGGTAGCTTTGAAAATGAATGTACCGATTGTTTAAAATGTACTGAAGTATCAAGGAAGATGATTGTTTACAGGTGGTCACGTGACCTAACTTGGGAATACATAAAAAACATTACAGTGTGATAGCGTAGGAAAAGATAAGGTTATGGTTGCGAAAACAACCACCCACTGTTAATGTGAGAAGTAAATGGCTAGGAAAGGCAATACGATTGTTCAAAATAGTGTTTATTTACTTATCCTAGCCTTCTCCTTGGATTGTATGCTTTTGAAATTTAAGAGATCCTTCATAAACCTTAGCTGGCCCTAACATCGCAGCGTAGTTCGCGGGTCGAAGACCATCATGCATACATAACTATGCCATAGATGTGCAGGGGCCTAGGCCTAACATTTGTCGAACAATCTCAATGTTTGCGGCCAGTATCCTTTATAGCATTAGCAAAACATAAGGCAAAATTATCAAGTTTAATTTCCAATCAATTTGGTATAGTTTACTGGGAATTATGATGATCTTTACAGCAATAAACATGGGACAGCCACGATAGCAATCTCCATGTAAAAGTTTTTTTTGTTTTTCTGCTCCTACTTTTCTCAGTGAGGGCAGGTTAAGGAGGGCAAACGAACACTTTTTTTTTCAGGACATATTATAACATACAGTAGTATATATTTTGAATAATTCATAGATTCTTGAAATTAATATTTCCATTCAAATTAAATATATGAGGAGTTTTGAGATGTCTTAAGACTGTAGGCCCATCGCTTGGGCTTGGTCTTGGTCTACTACTGTGTATGGCTTACAGTACCACAAGCTGTGCTGAAAAAGGAGGATCGATGTTGATTCAGAGATACACATTCAGCTTACATGTAGATCAGTGCTGTCACCAAGATATTTGTTGCAATGTTCCAAAAATGTTCATGCTTTCCATCGTTTCTTTCAATTTGTTTATTTAGGAACATTTACCAAGGCTTTTCTATAAGTTAATTTACATTCAAATGTTCAAAATAAACCAAGTCAAAATTTTGTCGAGCGGAGGCTTATTATAGCGTTCAAAACTGCCAACTACTGATATGTTTTGATGCTACGCCCACTGGCTTTGGTGACTATCTAATGAACCAGTTGATGTTTATGCAACATAATTTAAATATAGTAAGACTAACAAATGGCAGAAAATAAAGTTCCATTTGTTTATATACCCCGCAGCAGTACTCAAATCTTTACAGTCACAATATTTAAACAGTGTAAAGTATTAGAATTACTGTTTATTTATGGTATGGTTAAATTTTACAAGCATTGTAACAGTACTACACTGCTGTCATTTCTGTTACTGCCTTTGCTGTCGCTGTTTGCGCCTTGCTGCTAACATCATTTCTGTTAATATTCTATTAAGAAGTTTGTTTTGAGCCTTAATTTAACGAAGGTACAGCACAGATGTGGTCCTTTAGGGTTTTTTAATGGCTCCTTGACAGTAACAGACTCAGTACATTGCTCTGTGAATAACTTTATTTAAAACATAAATATTTTTTTCATATATTTTATCCTAAATCAGTAGAGAAACTTTAGCAATTTAGTTTGCTTTTCCTTTAATCCCGACTCTGATTTTAGGTCTACCTGTAATTTTTATTGTTGTATGTTTATTGTAGTGTAGTGTTTGTTTTTTAAAAGATGAAGTGAAAACCATGGTGATAGATCCTTCTCTGTTGCTGTACCAAAGTTGTGGGTCAAATTACTCAATTTTGTAAAGGTTGTGAGTTCAAATCGTGTCTTGGTATGCAATTTTTTTTTCCCTCCAATTTTAAGCAATTTTATTTTTTTCAATTTTAAGATATTTCAATTTTGTACAAATGAACATTCTAAATAATAATTTTCTTGCACGAAAAAACATACTAATTTAAAAAAAAATTACTATCTTATTAGCTCTTCCAAAAAACCCAATATAATAACTTGCGTCTGTACCATAAGCTTGGAGGAACGTGAAGATCGGTGAGCAGTCGCTCTTGTTTTTGTTTGAATTTGAACCCAATTAACAGGAATATTGAAAGTAGTCACACACTTGAAATTCAATGCCACATTTGTTTATTTCTAGCAATCATTTAAACCAACATACACACCTGCATACTAATATCAAGTTAACAGTTGAAGTTGGTGTGAGATGCGATGCATGTAATTTTCTTTGAATGAGATGGTGAAGTTACCGCGAGAGGTGATGCGTGTAATTTCTTATGTGCGAGATGGTGCAAGTTTATACTTCATTTCCTCAAGACACAGCCCATTAAAAATCTCCTGCAGAAGCTCAATGTGTGTAGAATAATGGGGTAGTAATTACGCATTTAATTTATTCTCGCCTCATATTTAATTGAGTAAATTATCAGAACTGGAAAGTATTACGAACAACTGGAGTTACAGTACAGTAGGTTGAACTGGTTAGGTTAAAAATGGGATCAATCTACAGTACTATAAGAAAATACTAATTTTAACAAAATTAGGGTTTTTTTTTGGGTTACTCTATTTTTTTGGAGGGGTCACCAACAGCCAGTGATGTGACTTCAAATTTTAGAGTAAGAAGGTTTAATTTTTATCAGGTTAAGTATACAGTAAGTCACATAAATTTTAAGGACCATTTATTTAATTTATTTTATTTAGTGAATTTTTTATTTAACACCAATAGCCACACCTGAACTTTGACATTGCTAGTGTGCTTGTAAAAATCATCATGCTCTGCTTTTATAGTATACCACTTTATGCTCAATTTTATTTACTGTTTTACAGATATTTGGTGCAAAAATTTATTTTAGGTGTGTTACAAAATAATGAATGATTTTTATTCGCGTAATGGAAAGAATATTTTCATTCGTTGAAAAATTGACTGAAATTCCATTCTACAAGGCGGAGCCGAGTCAAATGGAACCCTCAATCTTACAATGAATGAAAATACTCTTCCCATTGCACGAATAAACACTCATTATTTTCATTTCATTTCTTTAGGCATGAGCGTCAAGAATATGCCAATCAGTGAACTTAATCACTTTCCTACATGGCATCCACTAAACAACAGGGACTGAAAACACCAGGGTAACCTCCTACTCTTCTCGAAGGATGTACTGCAGACCTGCCAACCCCCGGGTCATTAAAATCTGGAGATGTTTTCAAAACTCTTTAAAAAATCTGGATATTTACAAAAAAAATCTGGAGGTTTCCAGAATTAACCAAAAGATGATGCAAGATACTAAAAAAGACACGTTAAGACAAATCATACTAGGCCTTTGTGGTATGAAAATAAACGGTAAAAAAGTACTGCAAAAAAAAAAACCATTAATTAAATGACTGCTTGTTTATCATCGTGAAGAGAGCAGGCGGCGAAAACATTGAATACTAACGATCAAATCAATCTATATTTATGCATAAATCGGAGCATTTTATAGGGGACCTGTAAAATCAGTTAAATCGGGTGAAAACTACATTTGATCGGGAGAACTGCAGATTTGTTTAAATATCGGGTGACACCCGACAGGATCGGGTGAGTTGGCAGGTCTGGTACTGGGTTTTTTGATGTTCACACAAGCCAAATGCGTACACTGGGCCTACGGTTTAAAGTCCATTTCCGAGAAGACTTCTACCACGGGAACCATTGGTTAATACTTCGCAACTCCCTATTCTGGAAACATGTGAAGGAAAATACAGTGTAGGCTTTATACTGTATCGTCAAAGTCTGTCCTCATTCAAAACCCTCTGTTTGGTCAACCTTTAATATTCCTTATGCTCGGAATGATTGATGTCATCGTTAATATTGCCACAATGCCATTAAAAAAAAAATAAATTAACTTTTCTAATCTTCCTGGAATACAAGTATTTTTTAATCTACATAATTTATGAAAAGTTCTATAGTACATCATTGCTTCAACTACAGTATACCTATCAGATTATTTACAATCTAAAAACATTTTAAAAGCTTAGAATTATACAAGATACAGGTAGATTTAGTACTACATCACCTGTTGAATACAGATAATAAAAAAATGATTGTAGTAGTAGACCAATAAACACTTGTGTGTACTTTATCTCCCAGTGAGATCTCTTAACTAATGAAATAGCAGCAACTTACTGATAGTGACACATCTGATAACACATCATCTACCTGATGGTAATACCTGTAGGGATCCATCCTCTGCCTGGAGGCTAGCCTAAAGCTAGTGTATTAATCCACCCTTGAATCAGCAGACTGTTGGTCCTGTTTACATTTGAATGGGGCTAGCCAAACAGAAGGCCTCTTTCATATGCAAATGAGCTAGGGATTCCCTCTTGACCTGGTTCTGATCACTCTGGTTGGCTGAGCCCAAGTGACAAATTTCAGTC